TGTCTCAAAGAACTTAAACAAAACTTTACTATTACAAATTAATTATTAATTAATTAACTAATCAAAACAAAAAGTAATTTAACTAACTAAAATAACTAATTTCAATAGTTTAAGAAAATAACTGAATTATAAATTCAAGTTATTTTATATATTTATTTCTAGTAAAATTTTAAAAATATTTAGAAAACATTATCATAAATTATTCGAATTCGGACTAATTTTTTAAATTGTTAACCCAAAATCAACACACCCAAGAATATACATGAACTAACGTGCTGACCCTTCCCCACTCGGATCAAATTTATTCTTCAGGAAACCAGTGTGAAGCGGGTGATTCATATTCAAAATCAACATTAATATTAATCTATTCAACATTTTCTTCTTCAGGTTGCTTTGATTTCTTAATTTTGCTGGAAATATTTACTGATAAAAGAATTTAGTTTTTTTAAATATTCAAAACCAACAGAATATACATCACAAGATGAGGTGTATGCGAAAAAAGAATTCTACAAAAGCTTTAGAATCTATTCTCATTAATCATACATTTATATAGAGTTCATTTTAAATATAATAATTTAATTATATCAGAGAGTACGAAAAAACAAAAACAAGAACTAAATGTGTCGCCAGTATCAGATTTTGCTCGGAAGTCAGAATTCAGAGGAATATTTGGTTCAAGCCCAAGGCAAAAATTTCCTAATACACAAATCAAAATTTAGGCAGAACTGTTACATCCCAACTATGACCGCTCTTTTCTTTTTTTTTTCTTTGATGAACCCAACAATCTCTGTTCCATTATCTGGAATGAGAAACTTCTCGAACTATATTGACTACAAGAAACACTAACCTCAAGATGAGAAGCTTCTCTAACTATAAATTATGTAGTTTTCTCTCCAAATCGCCCAGTCGAGTGGACACAAGCTTTACAAATACATTAACCTTCTTTCACCATCAACTTAGTGACAATAAAGTTTGATGATGGAATCAGCCCCTGCAGTGAACAACCATGGCTGCAGCGGATGGAATTTACAGTCCAGTACTCCTGAATATAGCCACAACAAACATCATCATCAATCTTATGTGGATGCATAAACAATAATTACAGTAGTAGTCTCCATACGCATAATGGCATGATAAAAAAAGAATGTATACCAGCCTGTGCTAAAACCTCAACCATTTCCACCATCTCAACAGCCGTGCTTATGCAGAAATAGACAACAGTAATGTGTATGATGATGACTCCAGAGGAACCACATATTTATAAACATTTGTCCATATCCACGGTATACTACCATATGTTATAGGATTAAAATTATTGATGAACGAGTGAAGCCTTTTGGCAAAATAAGAGTAGAGTGTGATAATAAATTGATTCTCAAACACCACATCTAGCTAACTTATGTAATTTTGTCATGGGTTACAAAATATCTCGGGTATGACTCAACCAGCTCAATTTTTTATCCTAGCCAATTGTCTAGCTATCACAGTGGCAAAAACTTAATGCTAGAATTTAATTACTTCAAACAACTCCATCAGTAAGCAATTCCTACAGACATGACATGGTCAACTTAATGCATTCTGTTAGTTTATAGAGACCAAAACCAACATACAAAAAATCAAGGATATTCCTTTTCACAATCAGTACCTGCAGGGAAGTAAAATAATAATAATTTTTACTCACCTCTTCCATTTGAGCTACCATGGCCTCGGAGGATTTCCAAAGGCACTATTAGGGGATTCTGATTGAAATCTGCATAAACCATGCCATGAAAAACATATGCGGTGCAGTCATCAGAGCATGAAGCAAACAGTGGGTACGTCCGATGAAAGGCCAGATTTGTTATGTCTTTGGGATGATTCCTGGAATTCCAAAACCACATGAAATCAATCAGAATATATAATAAGCACAAGTGAAGGGAATTCAATGAAGTTTACGCAAGATGCAAACCGGTGACTTTTAAGGACCAGCTCTGTTGTACAAAACTGTTTTAAGTTTTGAACTTTGATTTTCTTTTCATTTTATGCCCCCCAACCCCGCCCCCCCCCCCCCCCACTTCTTAGGAAATGTGTTTATTTGCTATAAAAATTGACATCCTGCAGATTGTGGAATTACATACTTAAGAATTTTGTAAGGTTTAGAAGAGAGATCCATGTCAAACCAGCACATCTTTCCCTCTTTGCTACCCACGATAACATTATCACCTACATCAGAAGCATGTCATAAATTATAATAGACCAAGAAAGGTAAC